GACCGCGGCGAGCGAATACGGCAATTATCGACGAAGCTCGGGATAGGACTGGCTCCGAAAAGCTAAACCGGGAACCTTTAACGACGCACGGCGAACTAGGGACTGAATGTTAGCCAATGCTGGGCAGGAGAAAATGAAGAGCGAGCGGTTGATTGACGGACGGGCAGAATTCCGGCGTGAATACGAAGTATAGCGGAGTAGTAACGATCGTAAGGTTGAACGAGGGGCAGGTGGGAAAGCCGGCAGGGGGCAAGAGATAGTAGGTAGGAGATTGCAGTAGAGCTAAGACTTGCTTGCTCCTTTTCTTGTTCTTTATATGGGCCCCAGGGAAATGATAGAGCGAAGGAATAATGGGGAGTGAACAGAACAAGCAAACGAATGTCGGAATCAACGAGGGAAGGGGAGCGGAGCAGAAACGGAGCGGAATAGATAGAGTAAGGAAAGGGGAGAAAGGAGCCGCAAGAAGAGGAGATGGGGATGAACAAGCCAGCGAGAGCCAGCGACGGCCAAAGAAAGAGAGACAGAGAGACAGAGGGGGAGAAAGAGAGAGCGAGGAGATGACGAGCAGGCCGAATGGGGCAAAGCAGATGAACTGACCGGTTTCGATAATACTTCCCACTTCCTATTACATACAAGCCAGCCCACTTGTTCTTCTTCTTCTTCTTCTTCTCCTGGTGGCTTCTCTCCTCTCTAACCCTTGATTTAGCCCTTCAGGAACCCGGGCAGATGGGGCTTTCCTCAAGACTGGAGTGTAGCCCCCCGTGAAGCTTGGCCCCAACAATGGAGTGTATAATGATCTCACCAAGTGGTTATTTTCTTTTGTGAACGACGACGACGATGATGACGGGGGAGGGAACAGTGACCTTGCGGGCGCGGAAAAGTAGAAGACGAGAAGGAGGACTGAATGGGACTCCTTCCACGTTTAAGATTGAGAAAGAAAAGAAGGCTGTCCTATCCTAAAGGTTCCAGGCAATTTGCCCAAGTAGGCGGTCGCTTAGGATTTCTTTCTTTTACTATTTCTTTTTTATTTTTTTTTTTTAATAATTTTTGTTTTTCTTATTTTCCATCTGCCTGCTTGTCTGGATTTTATGGCTTGATGATGTACCCCGTCCACGCATGGAGGGCCAGAGGGTAAGTAAGCAAGTACACACCGTCTGGCTTGCGCTTGGGCGGTATTGTCTCTTACAGTAAGTACCGGGTATGTATGTAATTTATGTATTTGATTACAATACCGCAGTTCCCTTGTCGGAATTCGAGCGATCCGAACACCAGACTCGCCCAGAATGAAACTCCATTGTCCGTCTGGAGATGAAATTGGGACGAGGATGGTGATGCTCATATGATGGGATTGAGGGGAAATTAAAGCCTGGACTTGGTATTTGTCCCCTTTATCGTCCCCCTTCCTTTCCTACTGTATATCTCACAGAACGTTGAACCGTCCGGGTGCGTCCCTGGTGCTTAAGCCTCGTAACCTATTAATACATGGAGAAGGGGGAAGGAGTTTGCCCCATGCAAGGCTGTGAAGAGAATTCAATAATCGCGTCATGACGAAATCATTCTCCAAGCTGGATTTTTTTTTTTTTTTACTATGAATAACCCACACTGTCTTAGCAGTCCTGGACTTGCGTAGATTTAGATGTAGGTGCTATGGTAACAAAAGGGTTGAGAAGAAGGATGGATCAGATCATTGCGACTATTGATGGAAGTAAACTGTATTCGTGAGCGGTACCATACTTTACTATCCGTACTTACCTTTTACTATCTATCTACTTACCCATCCAATCTCGCTCAGCTCCGGGCTCCGATCCTTTTTGAGGCTGCATGCACGTCCAACAGCAGCTTGCAGGAACAGGTTGGGTACGCAGTAGAGTTTTCGATCCTCGTCCTAGCCCCCGAGTTGGGCAATGCGAAGCGTCTGTGGGAACGGTTGTGCTGACTCGTCCGAGGGGCGCAGTGGAGGGGAACATTCTCCCGTGTTATTATTAGTAGTGACAAGATGGGAGTTATCTATTTCGTACAGGAGGAGGACTGGGATCTTGGCAAGACCCTGATATTAGTCCCTATTTGGTTGCCGTATGGGGTAATTGTGAAACATTGTGAGTAAAGCCGCGCGCAAACTTGACTTGGCATAGGGAAATGGTTAGTCAGGCTGAGGCTGGTAAAAGAAGTGTCCAGTAGTGTCAACTACTTAGTAGAAAGCGCTTCAGTGCTCTTATCAAGTGCTACTTCATGTTGCAGAGGAGTTGCTTGCTACTTATCAGTCCAGGCGCAAGTAGATGATCAAAGTGTGGTGTGGTTGTTCCATCACACTCTGCCCCTGCTTTGTCAGGAAAGTAAAAGTAACCAACTATCTCTGGGTGACTTGGTCTTTTCACCGTCCGCGCCGTAACTTACCATTCATTGTTTGTTTGGTACCACCGAATATACTTGTATCGGATCGGATCCTCACCAGTACCACCGCAACTGGAAAACCGTCCCTCCAGCATCCTCCTCCTCCTCTTTGATTACTAGTCAGGTCGCTAATCAAATCTTAATTATGTGGGTTTACATTATCAACCATAAGACTGATGTGAATTCCTGCCAATTCAATCCTCCGAAAGGAATGTTGTACAGTTATAAGCGGTCCACCTGGAGACTCCCGCTCTCATTCCATTTGACCAACGTCATCCTGTTGATAACCAGAGGATGAAGTGGCTCAGCCAGCCATTTCAATGCCTGCCACCGTTTCCTAGTCTTCTTGTCAAGATTCCTGGAGTATGAGATTCTAAATTGGCTGACAGGCCCATCGATCGCTCAATCATTCCACAGATCGGCCCTGCAAGTATGGACGTGTCAGCCCCATGATGTTGAAAGCAAACCGAGTGCAACAACCCTTATAGTGTGATGGGTGTTGTCGACAGACAGACAGACAGATGGATCAAGACAGATTATCGTATCATTCTTTCAGTCAAAGGCCTGAGTTCTGATGGTCTAGCGGTCTGCGAAAGCAGCCCTGGCTGGAGCTGTCATATCTCACGCTTCGCACCCACTGTACAGTAGAACAACTAACGCTAAATCCCCTGCATCCTCTTCGAATCGACAGATCTTACCAGCACACTACTAACAACGATGATTCGTATTGCATGTTGTTTTTTTAGCCCGATGAAGAAGGACACGTTATGATCGTCTCTCAGCCCGAAGTAAGGTAGATGCAGTTGCATACCCTTGAGAAGATCCAAAGATGTCCTGCCCTTCCGGTCACCGGCGCCCATGTGCACTTGACCATAACCGAAATGTACCAGATGTATTCGCAACTCTCACACGTCGCACACCAGGGTCATCATTGCAGGAGGCGAATTACAATTTGTCTGCCTGTATCATGTCCCGCTGTACTCCGGACAGCGTTCCCAAATGGCGTGCTGGGATCAATCTGCCACTTATCAATCAGAAGAGGAGGTTCGGACGGTCGGATATATCAAACCCGCCCGCGCTACGGTCGCCTGAGGCCAATTTCTGCGCTCGGGGTACCCGCTTTGGCCAAACGTTGAGTACTACGGCTACGAAGTACTCCTCTCACTCCCTTTCTTGAATTACCTCCCGGCCGGATTATGTTCCGAGGGGATGCAAAACATACTTGACTTAAAGAGCTTGATGGCAAGAGGAAAAAAAGAAAGTTCATGTGCTCAAAGTAGGTTTAATTTACAGAAGTTACTCCAGGACTTGAACAGCGGAGGATATCACATTAAGTCCATCCCATTGTCTATAAGCCCCGACTCTCCCTGATCGTTGTCGGTGAAACAACAGATACCTAGTGAGCAGCGTGGGCCTCCTCCTCCGGTTCCTCCTCGAACCAGCTCTCCTCAACGGGAGCGGCCTCACCAGCGGCGGCCTGGCCCTCAACCTCGACCTCCTGGCTCTCGTAGGACTTCAGCTCATTGGCGAGGTTGGCCTCCTCGGGGGACTGGGGAGCGGCGGGAGGAGCGAACTTCTGGACGTGAGCATCGGCGTCACCGGCCTTGACGGGAGTGGGCTTGTAGGCACGGAGTTCGCGGAGGTAGAGCTCCTGGACAGGGTCGGCTGCAAGACGTTAGAAACCGTAGATGCCTCATATGCACGGCTAATTTGCCCAATCCGAGTAAACATTCTCGATGGGAACCGATTCCACATTGTATGATAGAGGGTCACATACCCTGACGGACAGCCGAGGTCAGGAAAGTGCGGCGAGAAACAGAAACCTGTTGCCGAGAGACGCGGGAGAAGAGAGAGCGCTACCAAACAGGGTCAGTCACCATGTCACCCGGTTGAGTTGGAGGGTATATCGTAGGTGTATTGTAATCTTACCGACGCTCTGAGAGTCTGGGACATCATCGCGGCGGGGTGATAGATGAGGGGGGTTGGAGGTAGGTGGGTTTCTGCGAGGAGAGCAAGTGCTGATTGAAGCCGATGTTGGAAGTTCGACGTTTGTTCGGGAGCCTTCGGCTTGGCGGATGACTCAGCAGGGCGGCTGCGAAGTCCAAGTCAGGTGCATCTCCAAGCTGGGTTTGTCCGCTTCGCCCCTCAACCTCAGTTCTCTCGCTTCCTCTTCCTCTCCTCTCTTCCCTCTCGTCGTTCTTTGTTCCCCTCCCCTCTTAACCTCCCGGCCACCTCTTCCGCAAGGCCTTCCTTGTCTGCTCTGCGACACTTTTTCGTGATACAACCCTCACGGAGAGACCTTGACTGGTTCCATCGCGGTCGGGCAAGTTTGGCTTCGAGGTTTCGGGGATTACGCTGGAGAAGGTGATCACCGAGTACTTCAGTGCTTTACTCTGGGAACTTTGGCAGGACCAAGAGTCCTTCATTTGCCCGGAAAGGTAAAGCGCTAGCTTATAGAACCTGATCCCCTCCTTGAGGATAAAATTGCATGTCGGTGACTACCGGTGGACCTTCACCGTTGTCATTCATCATGTAGTCTTCACTCGGGAATCTCCTGCATCGTCTCCCATTGGAGTTGTTGTTCAGATATGCTTGGGGCATTCAGGCTAACATTGGTACAAAGGCAGTGACGTGGAGACGTACTTGCAAATCAGTCTGAGCGATTTGCGCCGCTGCTGTCCCATCCTCTATCGCCGTTATACTGTGAGCACGCCGATTGATAAAGTCTCTCCAACAGACTTTGGTCGTGAGCCTCACCTCGCCATTCGAAGGCCGTTGCACCTGCAACTCCGCGTTTATCGACCACTTTAAAAACGATACACCCAAGCTTTGTCACACTGCCTCTAAATATGGCTGCCGTTTCCCCTGCTGCCGCTAGGGCCGAGCCAGGCCAATGGAAGAAGAACCTTTCGGCCCACGTCATTTGCCCCGAGTGCAAAGAAGTGCCCCCTAATCTGGAGTTTCCTGGTTCCCATGAAACTGTTTGCGGCTCATGTGGCCTGGTCCTCGCTGATCGGGAAATCGACATGCACTCTGAATGGCGTACATTCTCCAACGACGATCAGAACAACGATGACCCTTCTCGTGTTGGAGATGCTATGAACCCGCTTCTCAACGGTGATCAGCTGGAGACCCAGATTGCTAGTGGTGGGTCGGGCCGCGTTCGCGACCTTTACCGGGCTCAGAACAAGCAGTCAAGTGAAAAGGCAAACAAAGCTCTTCTGGCAGCCTACAAGGAGATCGGTGCTCTCTGCGATGGTTTCAACATCCAGAAGAACGTGGCAGACACAGCGAAATACCTCTTTAAGATTGTGGACGATGCCAAGGCATTCAAGGGAAAGTCTCAGGATGTGATCATTGCAGGCTGTATTTTTATCGCCTGTCGCCAGTGCAAGGTGCCACGTACCTTCACTGAGATCTTCGCGGTGACCAAGGTTACGAGGAAAGAAATTGGGCGTATTTACAAGGCTTTGGAGAAGTTCTTCACTGCGCAGAACCTCGAGCGGATCAACGCTGTGGTCTCAAGCGGAGGTGTCCCTGACCCCAACGACACATACACCGCCACCACTTCCACCAAGCCTAGTGACCTTTGCAACCGTTTCTGTAACCTGTTGGATCTGCCCTTCCAGGTTACTAGCGTCTCCTCTGCTCTATCCGATCGCGTGACAACGATGGGAGATTTGGCTGGACGTTCTCCCCTGTCCATTGTGGCAGCCTGCATATACATGGCTTCGTACCTGATGGGACATGGCAAGAGCGCCAAGGAGATATCCCAGGTGGCCCATGTCAGCGATGGTACGATCCGCGGTGCTTACAAGCAGCTATATGCTGAAAGAGAGCGCCTAATCGATCCCGAGTGGATCAAAGATGGAAAGGGTGACTTGAAGAACCTGCCTAATAGTTAAATGGGCTAGACCTTGCCCTTTTCAAGCAGTTTGACTACTCGACATTTTGCCGGAATAGCTGCTCGTGCTTCACACCCAGCGCCTTAGTCAAACCTCGCTACTAGCTATTGAGAGTAAACATGATACCCCAAATCACCTAGAGATATACACAAAAAAAGAGAGAAGAAACCAAAACAAAAACACACAGATATATAATCCAAATTTTTTTCATACCGTCGCATCACCATATCAAACAAAGAACGGCAATTTGCGAAAGAAGGACCTGGTAGTTTCCCAAACGAAATGAGAATGAAATCCAGAAACCAGAAAGGGGAAACCTCAGTCGTTATTTCAAAACCATCATCATATGCCGTCATTTTCCTTCTTATCCTAAACCATCTTCCAACTTCCAAAAGCAGCCCTGATAACACCCTTTCCTTTTGCTCTCGGTTCCCCGTTGAATTTGCCAAAAACCTTCCCATTGAAGTTATTTAATCATTTGCTCGGTCCTTTAGCCTTTTCGTTTACTACTTTGTATGTAATTAATCCAGACATATCTAGCTAGCATACATGCCATGCATCATGCATCATTAGTTTTCAAATCGATCAATTCCTATTATTACTAGTACTAGTAGTAATATCTATACAACATTCATACAGTAGATATTAACGTAACCTGACAACTCTTGCAATTCGCAGAACTTTGACAACCTAACTCCTCTATCTCATCTCTGTAGTGGTATTATTATTATTATAGGAGTTGATCTGATCAGTAAGTGTAAAGATTGAACTTCGGCTTAGGTGAAGGTTGATGATTAGTAGAAAGGACCAAGGGGCAGAGTGACCCTCACGCGGATGTACCAAAGGAGTAAAGTACGATGAATGATACGAATAGCACTGCTGGAAAGTGGGCACACAAGCTAAGCTAGCTAGCTGGCTGGCTAGCTGTACTTACGTGTTGTTAACTGGCGGTGGTTGTTGTCGTTGTTGTTGCTGCTCTATAGCTACTGCACAGAGGTTATGGTAGACTATGCGTGTATGTGCTATCAAGGGAGTGAAACAAGACGGTGGGGTGCACGAGTGTCTCAAGAAATGAAGGAAAAAGGAAAAAGAAATGAGAAAGCAACATGTAGAATCAGACAACCGTCAATAGCCGGTACTTCACTGGGTCTCGCCAATGTCACCTTCCGAAGGCCTTTTGCCGTCTGCAGAGGCGGCTAGGGTTTCGGCGACGTTGTCGACGTCTTGCTCAGGGGATGAGGTCTCTTTGGCAATAGGGACATTCTCCTTGACCACGGGTTCTACAGCGGGGCTTGGCTCAGCCGCACTGTCAGTTGGTATTGAGTGGGCAGCCTCGGTGAATGTAGGCTCCTTGGACTCAGTGACTGTTGTGTCCTTCGATGAAGCTGAGACTTCCTCTTCCTTCTCCGGCAATGGCTGCGGATCAACAGATTCACCGGCGATATTCTTTGCAATCGCTGGAGCCATGGTATCGGGCTTGGTATCAGGAACAGCAGAGTTGGCTTCAGATCCAACGACCAAGTTACCGTCTTCACCAACTTGCCAGACATTCAACGTTGTGGTGATTCTGACCTCAGGAATAGTGGGTAACCTCGTGCTGGCCTTCTCAACGGCAGGCTTTCTCCGCGCGGGTCCACGGGCGCGGCCCTTCCGAGCATCACTCAATGGTTGTTTCTCTACCTGGGGGGCTTCTTCCTCTTTCTTCTTCTCCTGAGGCTTGGGAGGGGCCTGCGGGCCAAGCTGCAACCGTGAGTTCAAATCCGACAGGAACCCTGCCTTCAGTGCAGCAATCTTACTACCGCCAGGACGCGCCGGTACGGCCGGTTTGGGCTTGGGAGCGATATCCTTTGACTCTTCGGGACTTGCACGAGAGATAGGCTTGGCTGGACGGGCTGGAATCTGAGGCTTGGGTCTATCCGGGATGACTGGAGGTTGACGCTTTTCAGTAGGTGAGGTGACCGGCTTCGTTGATGTATCCACTGCTGTTGCCTGCTGCGGGCGCTTCTGAGGACGTAGTGGGATGCTCGGCTTTGAGGGGACTTCTGGGCTCTTGACCTCTTCCTCTGACGGTTCTATGGTCGTCACTAGTGTATGGCTTTCAGGGGCGTCCTCCCAGATGTCACGGCTGGGGAATCTCTGCTTGGCCACTTCCGGTCGAGCGGGGGGCTTCTCGTCATGCTCTTCGGATTCCAAAATCTGTGTTGCGACCTGATGGGGATCCAAGTGACTCGCGTGGCTTCTACGGAAAGACTCTTGCTCAGGAGTCTCAAACACCTCCTGCTTGGGGCCCTCCGGGGTAGACACCGTAGCGTGCAGCTGCAGACTGTTAGGCGAATCTTCCCAGATATCCTGGCTAGGGAATCGATGTTTGAGCTCCGGACGCTGCTTGAAGCGCTCTGCAGTTGAGACAGACTTCTTGTCCTTAGCATCGTCCTCAGGGAACAGGGGCTCATATTCTTCGACATCTTCAAGAGGAGTGTAGACGCCTCCATGCTCTTCGCGCGAGTCATATCGCGTCAAAGCGGGCATACCACTCTGTACACTAGCAGCCCTGCTGTTAGATCTACTGTGCGTGGCGCTAGGTGTGTGACTTCTGCCTTCATAATCGACACTACCACTCCGTTCAAACGAAGGAGAGACAGCGGGATGCTGGTAGGCCGACTCAGGGCGTACTTCGTCGGCAGCCAATATGGGCTCGTCGTTTTCATTGCCATCAGCAAAGCCGCGGTTAAGCTCTTCCGGATCCGGAGTCTGGGCGAAACCATCGGGATGGTGCAAGTGGTGGTACGGCTCGTCAACATGGATCACTCGAGGTTCTTGTGGCTTCTCAACTGCCTCTTTCTCCACAGCCTCATCCTGTTGTGCCTGGGACTCTGCGGCTGGTAAGCTGGACTTGCGGAGTGGGGACTCGAAGGCCGGACGAGAATCCCGACGTGACTCGGGAGGTGGCGATGACAAGCGATGCGTATACTCGTCAGAGGCAATGTAGCCAACTTCCTCCTCTGGAGTTCCCGCCACAGCAGGCGAAGTACCTGAAATATGATTATCAGCACTAACGTTCCGATTACAAAAGCGTATTGTTAGTTAACGTACCAAGTCCAGAGCCAGTGACAGCAGAACCTCGAACAATCTTGTTCAGGTCGTCACTGCTCAAAGCCCAATCTGGTCTAGGCGTGCCAACACCAGGACCATATTGGCCTTGTTCTTCCTTGACGTATTCCTCAGGGTGCTTCTCGTACCACGCTTTTTCAAACTTGTCGTTTGTAGGTACACCGTGCCCATGCAGGCCATAACTTCCGGGTGGCAGAGAGGCCTCACGACCACTACGGGTTCTGTTGTGACTCCGACCTGGACGTTGCTGCTGCTGCTCCACGATGTATGGACTTGGGGACGGAGCCTGAACATCGCCCGCGTTGGGGTACATGGGCACTCTCTGCCCAATCTCGGGAATTCCGTGATCATCACCGTGGAGTGACTGTCTGCGATCTGCGGACGCGGTTGAAGACTCGGCGCGTGAGCCACTAGCCCGCGAATGCGATGAGCGAGTGGGCCTTTCGGCATGATCATCATGAAGAGGAGACCCGGCACGGCCCAGACCGGCTGCTGCAGCTTGACGAGAATCTGTACGTGTGACAGCCTGCACCTTGGCCTTGGCACTGGAGGAGGGTAATGATGGCCTTGGCGCATGGAGCTTGAGATCGCTTCCCACGTTACGTGTTTCCGCGGGGGTCGACTGGTGGGCGTCGGAGGCGTTGCCAACATCCAAGTCTTCGTACTCGATACCCTCTTCACCCAGAGAGGGAATTGTGACACTCGGAGGACGGGGAGGCAGATCGGTCGAGGGGGTACGCTTCACGCCCGAACCATTGGGCAGTTCATTCAAAGGAGAAGGTGCATAGCTATCGCGGTAGGGAGACACTGAGCGCTCAATGCGGTGGGTAGGACGAGGAGGGATCCTAGGCATGTCTGCTGAGGAAGGTGCAAGGCCTTGTTGAGGTGATCTTGACGGTCGGGGAGGGATGACTGGAGCTGTTTGACTCGACATGATTGTCTGGTTGGTCTGATAAATATGGTTTCGGTATGTGCTGGAAATCAATTCTAACGATCGTCAGTCTCAGCGGAGCATTGAACAAGTGTCACATGAGCCAGTTGGATCTCGATGGCGGGGAAGTGAAGAGGGTTGGGTTTGAATTGGAGCTAGCACAGGGCAGCTGTGCATACATAGGTCACGGAAACAGGACAGGATGCAGGGGCGATGGTCAGTCTGGGGGGACGTGCTCCCAGTGGGAAGATAGAAGAGAGCACTATCTCAGCTAGTAGAGGAGCTAGCGGAAGAGCTGCAGAAGAGGGCACGAGGCGAACTCTGTGGCAGGGATTGTACATATGTAGCCGGAAGCAGGTCGATAAGATAGGTGCCATGCGAAGCCGCTCACATTCTTTGTTGTCTTGGCTTGTCCAGCAGACTTCTGAAGGCGGATAGGAAGCCGTTCCAAGGGATTTGGAACGATAGAGAAAGGACAATATTTGCAATGACTGATAAGGGACATGGAATTGATTCGCTTACCTGGCAAGGATAACAAGTGTTGACGCAATGATGGAAGGAGGACTTCAGCCCGAGCTCTAGAATGGGGGGGAGGAACGGGGTGGGGAAAGTCAATTCTGGGAGAATTAAACAGATGAATATGAATATGATGCTGAGACAATATGGAAATATACGAGAGAATGTGTCCGAGCGAGGGGGAATGAGGAGAACAGTGAAGAGATAGAAACAGTAGCAAGTAGGAGGAGGAGGAGGAGGAGGAGGAGGAGCAGCAGCAGCTTGGCAGCAGGAGACGGTCAGGCCTGCAAGATAACTAGTCTACTAAGTAAACTATGGGGATGATGTATGACTCTTGATTCCCGCAAAGTGGCCGTAACAGCCAGACTAACCGCTTTCTTCGTGCCACGGCCCACCGCCCCCGTCGCGTGACGTGCTCTGACGGCATAATACCACTCCTGTCCCCTCGTGCAAACCGTATGGTAACCGTATCTGGGCTGTGTACCAACCGGCGCTGTTTGTTGCAATTACATAGTATTGTTGAGGCGGTGGCAGAGGACCCCGCTGGGATCAGGAGTCATTTTTAGGTTTCCCATTTTTTCTTTCTGTATCACCCGTGTATCATTCCTCTCTCTCTTTTAAGACACGTTTCACTAGACCCTATTGCAAAGGATGTTCACGATAACGTTAATCGGTTCAGACAAATACAAAGTAGTCATAGTAGTAGCTAGATAGTTGGAGAAGACCACATACCAACTGTCCGTTTCTCAGGCATCATCGTTCAGCTGACGACAATCCACCAATAATACCAGATTAACAACAAATCAAGACCCTCAAATGAGACTTGCCCTATGCATGAATGACCGTAATGGATAGGTATGATTTGGTGATGTTTTTTTTTTACTTTTTACCCTTTTTCACTGCATTGCATCATTTGAGGCATTTTCCCCTCTTAGTCTGCTCTTGGAAGGTTGAACATAATGCATACCAAAAGTCTAGACACCTACTAGGTACCCCAGTAACATCGACGATAACACGTTAGCGCTTCGTGATACTACGAATTAGCATCTATGAAAAGGTCAGCTCAGACCCCAAAGGCAAGGCCGTCGCCCCCCGCCTTGCACGACGCAGAAACTCGGTATCAAATTGGCGGATTACGGGTTGATGATCTGTGGCCGATCCATTCTTGAAAACTCCCCGTTTGCTCTAAGAATAGGAGAGATTAAATCCCTCCCCTATTTTTTGCGATACTTGGTAAATAGATACGATGGATGGTGCGGGGGGAAACATTCTAATACTGGTAAGAACATACACTGTCCATGGTGAATCACCCCCTCTGCTGCGTCAGGGACCACTTCCCTCCCCTCTCCCCTTTCATGTTGGGAAAATGAGTCGGGCTAGACCATGGTCCAGATGTAGTCTCAGCCACAGTGCCACGAAGGGGGTAATTCCACCCCCCACCCCTTTGCTACTGTTTGTATAGTGCAGAGATCTGTCAATGGGCAATATTCCCAAGACACCGAGTGACAGAGAAGATTACCAGCTTAGCTATGCAATTCATATTATTTGTACAATAAGTTCACCTCCTGTGCACTATTTTGTTCCCCTTTCTACATTGCAATTGCCAAATACTTCAGTGTGGCGGTGCAGACCGCTTCCCGGACTGATTTACTGGTGCAGCCTTCCGTGGTACAATAGGTGTATGTGTTGGTTGCCGGTCCAATATTGAGTAGTACTCCATACCAGGCTGCATGCTGCTATGCATTCATATATACCTCAGATTTTAAGGTCGTGAATGTCAAGCAATCCCGCTATTATATCCATTGTGTCGAAGCACTCGTTGAAAACGGATAGATACGGAGTATATGTAGCATGATATGAATTGAAGTATTCCATGTAGTCTATAGTAACTACTATGCATCTATCCTTGGTGGCAGGTTTTGTGGCTGCCCGTGGCGCACCCTCCCTGTCCTTATCAGATCATGAAAGGGCAACTATAAAAGTTTTGCATATACTATGATTGATATAAGAAGGCTTTCCTTAATTTGCCTGCGTTGATATAGTTGCTGTATACATCTAAAGAGTTACATATTCGCCTAATAAGTACTATTGCAGTTTTTAAGAATTCATGATTCGTGAGTAGATATAGTAGTTGGTAAAGATCTTTCCTAGTATTCTGCAGAGTAGACATGGCTGGCAACCTTAACTTTACTACTCTGTATACTGTGTGAACATGCCGTGCAGAATTGACTAGGATGATACTACCCATTTACTACATGATAGACGTGTCTCTAAAGGGTGAGGGAGTCCTTGTATCCAACAAGTATCACATCAAGGCCTGAAGATGCACGATGAAGAGGGAAGAGAGAGGCAGGGTGATGTCCTCCAGACGAGTGGCCCTAGAACCCGCTATTCAACAACCTTCAAAAGAACAAGAAGAAGCAACCGAGGCAGTCTGATGGTCGGAACAGTCGTCTTTCCCATCATGAGGGCTGTCATCAGCAGTTGTGATGCAGCATCGACATGAAGAGGTGTACTGAGATGCATGAATGAAGAAATCCTTGCCGAAAGATAGTACTACATGATGGAAGCAACCGAAAAGCAGGTTTTCCCAAAATCCAAACCCAAGACAAGATGCTGGTCGGCGGTAAGGGAAAGAATTAGATGGGCTTCTGGAGGTTGGAAGGGGAGGCTGGCGGGCGCCCTTGACGTGTTTAGTGTAGGAAATTATTGGTGCGCTGGTTCGGAAAACTTATCCTACCGGCACAACCAGCTATCACTGGCCCCGTTCTGCCTTGACAGGTTCCTCCCCAAGCAGGCGGACTGATCTCCGGGTTCAGTCTCGAAACTCGCAACTGTCGTCCACTGGCTCACGCCACTTTCGTCTTCCTTCAATGCTTTATCTATTTCATCGTCTTTGCTCGGGATCTTCCCATCTGAGTTGATTCTTGTTATCATCTACTGATGATTTACCGTGGTCTTTCTCTAAAAAAAACAGATGCCGCGTTTTTCAGGAAACACACATTAACACTACTGAGGGAAACTCTTCCCCCCTCGTGGTACAGGATCTGATCTTCCCCCATCATGCCTTCCAATTGAACCTGCTCCTTTCGACTTTCATCCACTATCCATTCCATCTGATATCTCTATAATGATCCGATGCAAACATAATGACGGAGTAACAATGCCGTTCTGGCAAATAATGCTATGATACCCGGGCTTACAGCCATTGTGAAGTCTCCTGCCCCCTGTGATCCAGTACAGCAACAGCTTCTGGGGGTAATGTGAGCCTCGAGGACTGAACAAGGTTCTCTAGATTGCGAAGCATCTCTTTAGCTAACGCGAATCTCTTGCTGAAAGCCACTAGAAACCGACACAATTCCACAAACGCATCCTTTGAATCGTCCTCATTCAAGGCACTCAGAAAGACAAGGAGACTACTATTGGTGGGCTCGAGCATCTGCCTGGGTATTTGTCGCAATCCATAGGCTTCATGGTACGAGCGGAGACAATGGACAACTTGCTTCGCCGATCGAAGCTGATTTGACCGGGCCTGTTCAAATTCCGATGGATGGGACGTGGGCCCGAAATGTTGATGCTCCAGGAAATATTGGAATAGTACCATAATCGTATGGTGATATCCGATACTAAATGACAGTCAGAGATGGTGTAAACATCTGCTCTGTGAAGTTCATGTTCTTACTACAGGTATAAGATCTGTGGTAGTTTCTCATCGTCGGCTTCAAAGTCCTTCGGAAGGCTGTCAAGCCATCGCTGCAAGCGAACGCATCTCTTATTGGCTGCTATCCACAGTTCGCCGATTGGCATGTCCAGCCCTTTGTCAAACAGCAGATCCGGTATGTCCGCGACAATCTCGGTCAAATCGATCATTTTGGTCATGACGAGTCGTAGATATGCCGGGTGTTTGGCGAGGCCAACCTGATTGAAGCGAGGATACGGTGTCCACATAAAACCATCATCGAGCGCAGTTACAGGATAAGGTTTATATTTCGGTGGCTTCAACTCTGCGACCTTGCGACTATGCAATGACGTTTGCCTGCAGATTCAGCCGGTTAGCTTGGTCGGTACACGTCGGGGATACCGTCATACGCGTTCAAAATAAAGAGACCCCAAGCAGTGATTGCACAAGCATGCTGCAGTCGGAGAGACATTTTCTCCCACTGGTGGTGTCCCATCCTCGGTGACGTGAACATGCCAAAATCTTGTGCGAGCTGTACAGCTTGCCTGAGCATAAGCCAGCTCAGGTCATCTTTACCTTGGAATTTCAGGCTTCAACTAGTCAGCTGCTAGAATCGGTTATGTAAAGTAGGGAGGGGGATCTCTTCGCAAGCCATACAAACGACTCATTAGGGCCACAGCTTGAATATTGGCCAGAGAAACGCGGCCTTCCTCCGCGTTCCACAATCGCTCTGCTTCCGCATAGAAATGCTGCCCCCGTGACGTCTCATCGTCAGGGACAGCAAAAACTTCTGGAAAGTCGGAATAGATCTTGTTGTCGTCAGAAATAGCAAATTGAAAGGAGGATGGGAGCAACGCACACTTGCCACCGCTAATATGCTATTAACAAGCAGCGAGGTGCAGCAATCTGGATTGGTTTCTCTGGTAGTCATATGCTTTAGGAACGTCTCTTGATCCACGACCTGCAATAACGGATGATCCCAAGTGAAGTACAACGATATTAGGTGCGAAACAAGATGGTCATCATTAGTAACCACTGTCCAAGGCCCGGAAGATACCTGAAACAGGGGACTATCACATAGCCTCTCCACCGTTATCCGCAAGTGGGCATCGACAACTGGGCGCTCGTGCTGCGATGGGATATCTTCCGCAGGCCCAACGCTCTTGGAGTGCTCTGAACTTGCGTCACTGAAATCAGTGGCAGGAGCGTCGATAATAGTGACGAGGTCGTTCAGTTGGGCATTGCCACGGATCTTTTCCAGCATCTGTCGGGCCTTTTCTTCATCTGAGGATCGAAGCATTTCGAGAAGCGAGTATAGCAGGCCTCGGTAGTACTCTAGCTCTCCTTGGGTGCGCCTCGCAGCGACCTTTCGCCTCAAGTCGAGCGTCTCATCGAAGATGCATCCCCCAGTGTTTTGGCATGCCTTACAAGGTGGCGGGCGTCCGCTGCACTGTGATCCTTCTTCGTTAGCAGGAGCGCGAAATAGGTGAATGGGCAGATGAAGGGCAAGGATACAGGGTACTTCGTCAGGAGAGAGGCCCTGGTTTGCCAAATATGATTCAGTGAGACACGCATGCACACAGAGTCTCCCTCCCTTCCTGTGTTTCCCCACTGCTTGTATGCAGAACTAAGAGTCCAGGTATTACCTTTCGCTTTGCCTGCTTGCATGGCAAACATGCTGTCGAATTCTTCCTTGACTTGGCCAATGTGGTTGATCCAGTTGCAACGGGGCCTCGGGGCCCAGGGGCTAGGGAGGGAAGATATTTGCCTTGGTTTTCGGTGTTCATTTCAGGCGACGATGCTCCCCCTCGGGCGAAGGAAAGGTAGCTATGAGATGATGGAGAAATGCTGTCGCATCGCTGATTAGTGGTCAAGGCTGCTCTTGGGTCAGTCGGATCGCACGACATGAATATCGCAATAAGACGTACGGCAATACTTTTTTAATCTGAACCAATTATTCTTGGGGGGGAAGGACTGCAAAGAAAACGGATTTCGGCTCAGGAACACGGGCGAAAATGCTAAATCACCTCACCCTATACAAAAATTCGGTATGGAGCGACCTTGATGGTTCAACTCTCATGCAAAGAACAACCTATTCCGGGGTACCTGTCAATAGGCATATTTCGTCAAACACGGATGCCAGCCTTTCAACGGTCGGTGGTTGTTGCTGATGATTTGTGCCGCGGTGACAACAAGACCCAGTGGGGTTGGGGAGACGATTTCACCCTAGAGGTGATCAAATGGTTCAACAAATCGAGAACACCATGATACACGTGATCATAGACTTCTTCTATACGAGAGTCTGGGGATGGGAAGGGGCAGGGCTGGCAGAAGCAGAAAGACTTACCAGATAACTAACTGCCCGGGACCATGACTAACGACCATCACATCTAAGCCAAAGCGCTTGCATGGCTTGAAAGACCCCTCAGCGGGAAGCAAACAAGCATCAATACCGGTTATTCTTGGGGCAAAATCCGATCCCTAACAAGGGGCCCTGCTTAAAAAGGACCTCGAATACTACAAGTGGACAGTTCTCCCGATTTCCTTCCCAAGGTTCCTCGATGGGCAGAGGTCTGGCAGCAGCGCGAGGCGCATCGGAGCGATCCTGTCGTGGTATTGGTTACGGCCCTATACCGTTCGTTCCGGTCCGATCTACATGTAATGACACTATGTTCGCATTCCCTAAGCAAATGACTAGTGTCAATGTCTCATTGGCCCTATATGTGAGGAAGCTTGGGTGTCACTAGCCCAGACGCATCCTAGCCAGGAAGCCTGGAATGTCCGCACAAGGCAAGATAACACTTAAGGTGACAGGTATGCACGGAGTCCCTCGGACTGCAATTGGTCTACACGGTACCCTCAGGCCGTCAAATAAGCGTGCCACAAGGTAGGCCAGGAAGGCTCGCGCCCATCTTGCTGCTACTGCCGTCGATTCATTCCAGTGCACTGTTTACTAGGATAAGGGATCCAGGACTCGAATGCATACAATACATGACATAGGCCAAACTCTACCTGCGGGTACCATCCGTTCCTAGCGATCTTACAGGCCGGGTAAAACAGCCATCGGGCCAGCGAACCGCAAAACAAAGTAAGGGAGAGTTTTTGACAAAGCACACAAGGCGGAGGGGGTAAAAATGGAAAAAGAGGCGGGCAATATGGCAGACAGGTGCTCTAAGCCGACACCCGATATGCAGCAAATACAATAGGTGGAAACGTTCACCGACCCGCAACACGATGGAATAGCACTGGCTAGAGGACTCCAGGTCCTAGACTGGTAGAGGTTGAGGTCCACCATAAATCAGGATGCCGGTCCACTCCTTGAAAACGAATAGCTACCGAACCAGACTGCTTCTTACATCAGCCCAGCCGGCTCGCCTGTCAGGATGGGGGCTCGCATCCTTTCACTGCGTCCTTACTACGCGGCGAATGATGCTCCGTTCTAGCCTGCCATGGCATGGCCCCGCAGCAGTTTCTCGACTGATCCTGGTTAGCAACTCGATATTGGCGCCGGCTTATGTGGCTTGCCCGAACCAATGTGGGTTGTGCGGTGCAAAGTTCCGTGGGCGTGCCGCCTCGTAGCAAATTCGGCTGAGCGGGTACAAGATGGCGATTTGGGACTGGGTCTACTGACTTGAGAACAGAGCCTTCTTGCAGTGGGACTGTGACCAGAAACTAGAGCTCTCGTGTCATAAGCTTAAATCAAGGACCAGAGATCCATATTCTCTTGACAGAGTATGACATGCGCTGGGGCGCATTTCTATGCACCAAGCTGTTATCCTCCTTGCAGTACAGGGACGGGAGGGGCGCGAGCTCGCTCAAAACCCCATCTCCACATAGAACCTGCGGCGAGGGTCGCGCCTGTCGATCATTAATAGTCCAGAGTTACATTGGGCCGGTCATCTGTTGCCGTAGGATCCTGGAGGCAAGTGTGCACACGCGGCTTGGGATACTCTCAGCAGAGGGTCACGATGAATGGGTCGGATCACCTGACAGCCCGCAGCACGTCCGATTTGCGCAGAAACGGCCTTTTACATCACTGTGACATGAACCTCCTTCAATCTTCGCTCTGTTACGAGGGGAACCAGGCTTTTTTACTTACATTTTGTTGGTGTCAACCGATGCTGGCCCTCCTTTCCTATATCGCCACCGATCACGATGACTGGACCATGACCCGATTTTGCATACCAGCAGCACGCGAGCTCCCCAGCATTTCAAATTCCTCGAACTCTGGGGCAACGCTTTTTCGGCCGGAGTCTGCCAGGGGGTGGACGTTAGTAAGATCCAAGCGCTTGGCATGATAGCTCTCTCTGCACCAAAAAGCATCGATCCAATCATCACAACTCATCCTTACCTCCGCGGTCTGAGCGCCAATCAAACATGCAGACCCGGTCTCCGCCCCATCGTAGGCCATCCGCCCTACAGACAGCTTGCCTAGACGTTCGACATGAACAGTTTATTTTTCTCAACAATAGCCCCCCTCCCCTCTTCCTGCAACCTCACCGTTGAGGATACTGACAGGCAGCCCGATGACCCGACAATAACATTCTTCTGTTCGGGCACCACCCGGAAAGAAGACCCAAGAGCTGGGCATCCATGGTTATACAAGTAGCCGTTGTACAAAGTGCTTTCCCATTACAGTTTCCTCTTCACCACTTGGGCTGTCCATGTGGCTCAAATAAACCCCGAGGCTTTTCTTTATCCTTGCGTGCGGTGTCTGCAGGAGTTGGCTAATAAAGTTCCAGACAAGCACTCGAGTCACACTACTAATGATCTGTTGTCTCCAATCAAAAAGGTTGCGACATGCATCCACGGCATTCCAGTCTTTCTGGGTGCTTCTAGCCTTCCTAGCTCTACCGAGGGTCCATGCGGGTTCATGATAGCCAAGGATAACTAGTATATTTGCTTTTTATTTGCTCCAGATGCTCTAACTCAAAAGGTATGTGCCTCTGGACTTTTGTGGAATGCAACCCGCACTTCTTGGTCGGGCGTAGGTATGGAGGTCAATGGATCGAAGTACTCTGCAGAAATTGTTTCACCTCCACATATACTTGTGACGGGACTATTCGGCTCGCAGTGAAAGTCCCACGGAATCTAAGCACCAATAACTAAATACCGTGTCCGCTTTCGATGAAAGGGACAATCATACTCTTGAGACTGAAATAGCTGGAAAGCCAGAAAGAAGCTTACAAGCATGATTCTAGTCGACCAGCTATTGCTAACCATTCAACAAGCTCTTAATCAATACCTACCTAGGCCACAAAGACCTTTCATTTAAGCGAAAGGGTTAACCTTTCAAGATATTGCCTAATCAAGGCGAACATGACTCCTTTCACCCTCCGTTTCCGGAGTGATAAGCCGCCGTCTATCTAATCAGAAGACGACACCGCCTTCGGTTAGCATCGGTACGAGGGGCTCAACGCATCAAGTCGATCGATATGCATTACGATGGAGTCCGCTGTCAGATATAGAAATGTATCGAATCTGTTACCAAATTGACGCGACAAAGAGACCGACATCAGCCTATCACCGTTATGTCCTGTTAGTTCGCGCCCTGTCAAGAACAACGGCGGGACGTTGCATATCGCGTGGAGACTCGGATATCGATGGCAAAAAAGGAGTTGTCCCATAGAATCAAGGCACCCGAACCGGCAAGTCACTGTAAAAACTTTTTTTCTTGGTTTACCCTTTCCCCTCCGCGGGGTTTGTCTAGGTGCTCCTTAAATTCAGTAGATAGAATCATCGGTTCCTCCTCGTCTGTAGAAAAAGAAAAAAAATTTTGCCATCTCAATTGCTCTCTTACCACTCGCTTTGCCACCGAACAATCTCTGCATCTCTGCAATTAGTTGGTTTTCTTTCCGCTCGGGTTACGGAACCGAAAGTCGACGCATAAGGTACTTCGAACGGATCGCCAGGGTCAGTCAACTTATTCGGTGACTCATAAAGCCTGTTTCGTTGCGGAATTCACTCGCGCCCAATCAATTTTTCCAATTCCGCATATCCTATTTAATACCTTTTCTTTTTCCTTGATCACTTCCCTCGCAAATCACGCAAAATCATACATCAACGCAATAATGGGTTCTGTTGCGCCTTCTCCCGCCGAGCTCGACGCCTCCGTCGTCAAGGTCACCCGCTCGACCAACCTTCGCGATGTGCCTCTTCCTGGCTCTCCCGAGGAATTGAGCCACTCCCACTGCACCGACCACATGGTCACTGCTCGTTGGACTGTCGCCAATGGCTGGGAGACTCCTGAAGTTCGGCCATTCGAGAACCTGAGCATCCCTCCCACGGCCTCGTGTCTGCACTATGCCACCGAATGTTTCGAGGGTATGAAGGTGTACCGGGGATTCGATGGCAAGCTGCGTCTGTTCCGGCCCGACTGCAATGGCGAGCGTCTGATGAACAGCGCCAAGCGCACCTCTTTGCCCTCGTTCAAGTATGAGGAGATCAAGCGTCTCATTGCCAAGTTGATGCAGATCGATGGACCTCGTAAGTTTGAACCCGAACCCGATTGCTGGATGTGACCTCCGAGCTTCGATGAACTGACAAACCCTTCGTCTTTTGTAGGTTGGCTACCCAAGGATCAACCTGGTCGTTTCCTCTACCTCCGTCCCGCGTTGATTGGCAGCGGCCCACACCTCGGCGTCCAGACTCCCAAGGAAGCCCTTCTTTTCATCATCGCCGTGCCGTGGCCTGACCCCTCGAAGAAGCAGTCCGAGCAGCCTGGTGTTCCTCATGGATTGAAGCTTTACGCTTCTCAGCCTGATAGCATTCGTGCTTGGCCTGGTGGTTTCGGATACGCCAAGCTCGGCGCGAACTATGGTCCGTCGTTGCTGGCGCATGGCAAGGCGCAGGAGCTTGGGTTCGATCAGGTGCTGTGGCTGTTCGGTGAGGATCGTCAGGTTACGGAGGCGGGTGCTAGTAACTTCTTCATTGTGTGGGAGAACAAGGAGACGAAGAAGCTGGAGCTGGTGACTCCTTCGTTGGAGAGTCAGCTCATTCTTCCGGGTGTTACTCGTCGTAGTGTGTTGGAGTTGGCTAGGGAGCGCCTGACTCAGTCGGTGGGCAAGCTGGCCCCTGTTGATGTTGTTGAGAAGCACTTCACTATCGGTGATGTCGAGGAGGCTTGGAAGGAGGGCAGGATCGTGGAGTCGTTTGTCTGTGGTACTGCTGTGAGTTTTCCCCTTTTTTTTTTCTACTTCACTCTGTGTGTATGGTGACTAACTGTGACATTCAGTACTTCGTCACTCCTGTCAAGCTCATCCGCAGCGGAGACGTTGATATGAACATGCAGGAGGCTGGTGTTGAACGCGCCGGATATGCCGCTCAGATCAAGTCCTGGCTTGAGGCCATCATGTTTGGCATGAAGGGCGAGGCGACCCATGAGTGGGGATACGTCATTGATGGTGAAGTTGAACAATAAGTGTTGACAGCGATGATGATCATGATGATGACGATGTTTTGCAGGAAGGGATTAGAGCTACTGTATATACTTGACTTTATTTCTCTGGTACTTTTTTAGAGTGGAATGATAGACTCATGTGACATGCCGCGTTTGTTTTGGACGGATGTCTCCGATGCTAGTAGTATTCTACAGTTGAACCCGATAGAAAGTGCAGCCATGAATTCATAAACAGGAACTAAGTTACTACTAATGAAGGTATCTATGTGGCATCCTTGCATAGATTTAAATTTCCACCAAAACACACTACTGAAAAAGTTATAGTTGATCTGTGCAGCCACATATGAGCTTATTGAATTAAATTAGTGGAGACTACTACATACTATATACAGTGCAGATAGCTTTAATACAGCGACATTCTGAGCATATATCATAATTATTATTGACTTTATTGGTATTTTGCCTTTCTTTGCTATTCACCAACTCTTAATCCTGAGGTATAAATACAAGCCCTCAACTCTATTACTTTCTTCAGTTTATGTCCCACACCAGCCCATCCCAGAGTAGTATAATCCAATCATCCAACAACTATGCGTCTTCTATATCTGCTTCTTCAATCGTACTATATATATATATATATATATGTCTTAACGGAAGTATTCAGACTAGCTAATATTACTATACTAACTATATATGCCGAGTTACCTCCGATTACCCAATGGACGACATCAACTCAAACGCCAATATATGCATGTGTCCTTTCGGAGTAAGTTGCTGGAACTCGACGATCCGAACATTTGCCCAGCGCTGAACTGCCTGCTAAATAGACTGAGTGCACCCTAAGCGAGGGTGATGATCCATCCAATAGCGCCGTACGTTTCGAGGCCTAATACCCTGGTACTGGGGACGATGATACTAATACTACTCATTTCCAGAATCACTTGTACAGATGCCAGTAGTAGAAATTGGCTTGTACCAAATATGAGTCAAGCGTGAATGGAGTGTTTTTCTGATAAAAAGTTTGCTATGTTCGGCAGCGTCAGTCAGATTATTGGAGTGGGATTGTTGGGGCTATTAATCAGTAGTAGTTGTACTAAGTACTAAGTAGGAACGATAATATATTCCACGCCGCTTTAGCTGTGGTAGTAAAGTCACCTACTTTCTAGCAGTTGCTAGTCGCTCCGAATCTGCAGTGCCAACCCGGAGATCGAGTCTACTAGTCGTATCCACTACTATCATTGTTATAGGGGTTGTGAGCATCTATAATTTGAGTGATACTAGTCATATACTGTGTATGAAATCGTGCATAAATCATTGATGCCGTCTCAAGCCTCTCCCATATCTACACGATCTTGCGTGGAGTCGTCTCCCAGATCTACCACCATCGGAGCATACTCTCCTAGCTCGTCGTCTTCATCATCATCGTGCATGTCAAGCTCCACCTGCTCACCATCCTCCAGCTGAACCATACCCCGCCGAACAAAGACTTCACGGTTCAGCTCCCAGTCATATTCCTCCTTAACCCAAGCCTCGAGCTTGTCAAACTCAGCCTTCACCAATGACTCCGTCCCATCGACGACCTCATAAAGCGACCGTCTGAACTTCACAAGTAGTCTTCGCAAGAACTCACCACCTTCCTCACCATCAAGGTCAAACAGTCCCCCTTCGACATCATCACACCTCTTGAGCTGCAGTAAAAGCAACCTCAACACCCCAGCCACCAGGGTCTCTCTATCCCGTATAGCCGCCCGACACGTCAGAATCAACTCCAACAGCCTCTTCCACTGCTGAAGGCAAGAGTAATTCATGAGCGTCAAGATCATCAAGAACGCAAACTGCAATTCCCCGAGCACCTGATCCTCCCCAGCCCTCTCATCACCCTCAGAAACCCTGTGTATCAGATCCCCCAACGCCCACGAGCGATCCTGCGCCGCCTCTGTCCTCTCACGTCCAATAGCCCCCTCCCGCCAGGTCCTCTTCAAATCAACCGGCAGAAACCCAAATTGACTCTCCTTCTCCCCTGTGACCTTCTCCAATTCCTCCGTCGCTTCCGCCGAATCCATAAGCCCAGGTATAACATCCGTATCCCTCTGCGCCGAGCTAGCAGACGTAACCATCCACCGCGGCCGACCATCCACATCCAGAGCCGGATCACCCACAACGCGCGTCAACAGCCGCGGCGTCAAATTATTCGTCAATTCCTTCCAAGTCTGTCTTCCTTCTTTCTCATCCTCTTCGTCGACTTCAAGCTGTACCGGATGTCCAGCATTCTGTTGCGCCAAAGCCGCCGGTGAGACTCGACTGCGGTACCGGAACAATCCTCCCCTTTGCCATATAGCTCCCAGATTTGCTTTATGGCGCATCGCTGCTTGTTTGTCTGTGTCGCTGTCGATGGTTAAGGGGGCTAGGGTCTCGGTGTCGGTGTTCCATTTCCAAACGATTATGTCGGCGCCGGGGTGCGAGGGGGTGCTAAGAGAGAGAGCGCTGCCGGTTTGGGCTTCGCTAAGCTTGGTAAGATCACCGACGTAGAACCAGCCGCCACTTCGGAGGGATAGACTCTCTGTTGTTCCGGTGTAGAGGAAGTGCCATCCTGAGGGGAGGTCGCGGATTCCGTGGAAGTTGGGGGTCGAGGTGAAGGTTATGAGGTCGATGCCGACAAAGGTCTTTGGTGGGAGGTGGGGGACGAGAATCGTAGGGGAGGGCGATAATGTGGATGTCATATCTGCCTTGTGAATATCGTTAAATGTGAGTTGGATTTCTTAATGGTGGGATAGCTGTGTTTAGTCGTGTCGCATGTGAAAAGATCGAATCGCAAAGCTGACGTCAAACCAGATTAAGGCCGGATGGGGTAATGGCAGTTGATGTTGGTATATCACGGAGTATGGCGGAGGGAGTAATTAATGCATAGAAGTTATTTGAGGAGACTAGAATCGACGTGTAAGAAAATGTGGTAGGGACAGGAAGGTGGAGGGGAGCTCTGGGTCGATCGATAAAATGTGCTTATCTTAGCTTGATTGCGGGATAAGGAGCCCGGCTACGGAAGATCAAAATCCAGTTGCTCGCCAGACCTGAAGACTTACGTTAACAAGTACAAGATATATCGAGGTGCAGGAAATAGCCAGCGTCAAGTTGCAGGATTCTATACAGATTTTCTATTTACTGGGATTCTCTACACATACAAGTTACACTCAAGGACCACATCAGTTCTAGGTTCAGTTATATTGACTATAGCAACCGCCACACAGACAGTAGACTACCTAAATCCAGAACCGAAAGACACACTTTTGGGTATGTAATAAATTGAAGACCAGGCGATAAAGGCCGTTCTTCGCGTTTATTCCATCCACATACGGCAAGCAAGGCCAAGTCCGCTCCAATCCAACCATGCGGAGAAGCTCCGCACAACTTGGAAGAGATGAACCCGCACATGCTTACAAACGACGACCACGGCGACCACCCTTGCGACGAGTAGAGTCGGAGGGAGTGGGGGTGACGTCCTCGATACGGCCGATTCTCATGCCGGAACGGGCAAGAGCACGGAGGGCGGACTGAGCACCGGGACCGGGGGTCTTGGTGCCGTTACCTATATCTAGTATTAGTGATTGTTCTCTCGAGTTGGTGCTTTCATAGCGCTCGTTCACATACCACCAGTGGCACGGATCTTGATGTGGAGGGCGTTGATGCCAAGCTCCTTGCAGCGAGCAGCAACATCCTGAGCAGCCAACATGGCAGCGTAGGGGGAAGACTCGTCACGGTCAGCCTTGACCTTCATACCACCGGTGACACGGCAGATGGTTTCGCGACCACTGTTATCCCAATCAGTTAGCCAACTGTGTCCCGCCAAGCAGCGTTTTGCGACAATTCACGATATCCGACTCCCAAGTCCATTGCGGGGCGCAAGATGTTCTCCGGAGAACGGATATTCGTGCAGTCCATAATCGGGTATTTCAAGATGTGACGAACCTCAGATCGGTGACGTGGACGAAGGTATCGTTGAAGGAGGCAAAGATACGGGCAACACCGAAAACGAGCTTGCCTGCAAATCATCTCAAATTAGACATGGTCTCGATCGCAAGTTTTTAGAGTGCATTGGGTTGTACATACCATCTCCGGCCAAAGGACCGAGAGAGACGTTCTCCTTGGCAGCACCGGCGGTCTTCTTGGGAGCCATTTTGTCGACTTGCTGGGGTAGTGGGATGGAATATGAAAAGGAAGGAAAAAGGGAAGTTCGATAGGCCTCAAATGGCTTGGATACAGAAAATGACTGGTGTGTGCCCTACCCACGGCGGCTCACATTCTGATTGGCTGAGAGATGATCAAGGGCGGTGGGCAAGCGAGTGTTGTAGCCTGAGGCCGCGGAACCGCGGTGAATCAACTCGATGACTCTTTCTGTGACAGGCGTTGTAACACCGGATGGGCAGTCGGCCCGGTTTGGTGCTCCTCCCAGCACTATTTAAAATTTCTGCTGCAACCTCCCGAGCTATAACTTTCTTCTTTCTCCTCATACCCAATCAGGCAGACAGTCGGACTCTGTGGCTTTGTCTGCTGGCTTGTTTATTGGCTCAATTGAGCGTGTCGCGCAGCCTAGTTTCTCACCAACAAACAAGACTGAACGAGGACTAATCCAACCAGCAAACATGGGCTTCACCAAGGAATCAGCCACGATCGGCATCATTGGCATGGGAGACATGGGCAAGATGTACGCCCAGCGTCTGAGCGCTGCCGGATGGAGGTAATATTTAAACAAGTGTCCTTCCCAGTCAGTTGTTTCCGATTATCACCCTGGTGGTGTGTGTTATTGTAATAGGTGAGCATCCCCTTTTGTTCTTATCTCTCTCGCTTTCCCCTTGCTTCCTCTCCCCCTCTTTGGATGATGACTTGAGTGCATTTGGCTCGAGTATGGCCTGGAGGTAAGCTTTCCTACCTTGGTAGGTTTGCGACTCCGCCAGACCGTCAATGATGTAACATCTCAGCTACCTATATTTCTTTGTCTGAAACCCAAAGCTATCAACATTTATGATGATTGATTCACACATTTGCGCATAATGGGCTTGTGCTAACCATTCTGCCAAACTAGGTTCTCGCGTTGTATATCTTTAGAGCAAAGCATCAAGCCGGACTGGATTAGCTATACTAACTATTTACTCTTCTTATTTATCAAGGATTAATGCATGTGACAAACCCGACTCGTATGAGCGTCTTATAAAAGAATTCGAATCCACAGTACGTCCATGATACTTCACAGCTCGCGCTGTCCAGACATAAACTCATCCATTCATAAAACCAAAAAGCAAAATGTCACTATCTTTCCCAATGGCCACCTGGTTTCCAGAATAAGCGATTACATTATTTACAGTGTAGAGGCCGGTGTCATCGACAAGGTAGTGGAAATGTATGGCCCGTGTATGTATTTCAAGTTGCAAAGGCTTGCTTGCTTGCTTGCTGCGCCCTTATATTTGCATCATGAATTTGAAATGTGCCTGTCTGACTTGTGGAAAATCACACAAAAAGCTACCAAGGTCGGTGCAATCGTCGGTGGTCAAACGTCCTGCAAGGCCCCTGAGCTCGCGGCTTTCGACAAACACCTTCCCAAGGACGTAGAGATCGTATCATGCCATTCGCTACATGGCCCTCAAGTCAACCCCAAGGGTCAACCTCTGGTACGCTGCTGTCTGCCTGCTTGCCTGCCTGTCTGTTATTTGCTTGGAGCATATTATATGCCCTCAAGACCCAAGATCGCACAGGACAATGTATGATAACATAACGCCCGTTTGCCTTTTTTTGTGTCTAGGTCTTGATCCAGCACCGTGCCTCCGATGAAAGCCTCAACTTCGTCAAGGAAGTCCTGTCATGCTTCGAATCCAAGTTCGTTTTCCTCTCCGGAGAGATGCATGATCGCATCACGGCAGATACCCAGGCCGTCACCCATGCGGCCTTCCTGAGCATGGGAACAGCATGGCAGGCCAACCAGCAATTCCCCTGGGAGATTAACCGTTGGGTGGGAGGCATCGAGAACGTGAAGATCAACATCACCCTACGCATCTACTCCAACAAGTGGCACGTGTACGCCGGTCTTGCCATCTTGAACCCAGCGGCGAAGAAGCAGATTCGGCAGTATGCAGAGTCCGTGACGGATCTGTACAAGCTCATGATTGAGGGCCGCCGAGACGAACTCAAACGCCGTGTCAGAGCTGCAGGGGAGGCCGTTTTCAAAGCGGGTACCAACGGCCAGGATCTGCTGTTGAAGGATGAAGTCCTCGACCGTTTCTCCCTGTCAAACCGGGAACGTGAGCAGGCTCCTCCGAACAGCCATCTCAGTCTGCTTGCCATCGTTGACTGTTGGTCCAAACTTGGAATTGTCCCCTATGATCATATGATCTGTTCCACGCCTGTGAGTTGCTTTGTCCCTTGCTTTCCATGGCGTTCCTGCCTTCATCTTATTTTTTTTTCTGTTATTCCCCGCGCAATTTATGCGATGTAACGTTGCTTTAAAGTCAAAGTCTAATCATCGCGCGCGCATGTGCGTGCAATCTATATAGCTTTTCCGTCTCTGGCTGGGCGTCACGGAATATCTCTTCCGCAATCCCGAACTCCTCGAGGCGGCCCTCGACACTGCAGTCGACGATAAGACGTTCCGTTCGGATGACCTGGAATTTACCTTTGCAGCTCGCGTGAGTACCAACCCTGTTTAGCTTCAAAAAAAGACCCTGGCCGCGTTTGTGCGGTTTTTATTCCAGTCCAATGGATATGGATGGGAACCCAACCCCTCCTCCAATGCACATTTATTCCGATTTGTACAACAACAGCACCACTGACGTCATTCACTATAAATTCGTGCAGGCATGGTCGGACTGCGTATCGTTCGGTGATTTCGAATCCTACCGCGACCGGTTCGAGCGGATCCAGCAGTACTTTGCTCCCCGATTCCCCGAAGCCGTCAAGCTGGGCAACGAAATGATGAAGACCATTCTGGAGAAGACTGCAACGGGCCAAGCCTAGTATAGGAGAAGACACACCGAAAGAGATGAAAATCGAGTAATGCCAATGGCTCCTCCCTAAGTCTAAAAGCCCAATCACAAGAAGAAGCCGGCTAGGGAAAGTCGGGTAGCGCGCCTAGAGTAGGTGGATGTCTCTGCGCCAGTCCGGCAGGATCGGAGAGGGGGGCAATCCATAATAATCATACTCATAATAATACACTAATGATATTAATAATAATGTGTAATAGGCAGCAACTGTCTCGCTCGTTGGATAACAACGACGACTGGTAACAACAGTGCAACTTTGGTAGACGTACGGTTAGTATCCCTTGAACTAATCGCAATCGGGCAGATAAGGGTAACCCTTGAAATGTTGTTGACAGGGTTTCCTTCCCGAGGTCGAACGAGAGGCATGGAAAGTCATGGATCTTTCTTTCTTGATGTCAGGCAAGAATGGCTATTATTGTTTTCCCCCTTAACTGTCGTTGTTCCGTGTGGTTGGAGCAGCACTTGGTATGCTGAATGGGTATGTATGTATGTATGTACGTAGTAGTATGTTTTTGTTCACGCGCGCGGGGGCTCAGGTCGCTCGCACTCTTCTGCGCACGGAATATTCCACCGTATCGCTATGGGCTGGGCTTTATCCATTTAGGGCAATTCGCATACGTTTCATGGGTCCCGCTGTGGCAGTCACTAAGATGCTAAGCCAGGATGTTATTAGTCCAAGCGGTAGCTAAAGGTACTAGGCTGCTTGGTGTCGTATCTTTGAGAGGTGCCAAAACTCTGGAATGGGGATCGGAGACCCAATCCGATCCCAACAGACTTGAGGAGGGTAGTATCGTTCTTGGTCCTCTTGCATGAATAGATAATTAAGTAAAGTGTGTGTGTGTGTGTGTGCGCGCGCATTTCGAAGCGACTAGCTACTGCTAGAGCCGAGATCTTATATTACTTGCATGACCTGCTTTGGGAAAACAAAAGGTTGATCTGTATGCTGCATGACGTTTTGAACGGAGACCCTCCTTTGAGGCTTCAGCCCCGGGTCGTGGGAAATCCGCGGTTCCGGTAGGGGAGATGGATTTACGGAGTACGTCGGATCATTTTAATCAATTGTTCTCCGGATGGATACTAAACTTTGAATGCCATGAGTCTCGAGCGAGAAGGATAAGATTCGCAAAGATATATGGTAGTATTGGTAAAGGTCCGGAGCAGACCGTTTTTCTTGGGGCACGTCGAAGGTTGTGCTCGATCAATTAATCTTGGCATCGATGCACTGCTAAGTCCAAAGCGGTTGGTTGCAGCCTAGCTGGATATTGATAGTTCATGAACTTGTCGTATACAAAGTAATTTAAAAGCGCTATCTGTGCGGACCAGGCCGTCTTGTGGCGTAGTGTCGTATCTGCTGGGGTATGCTAGGAAGATTACGATCCAGGCTATGGCGCTTCCTGGCCTGCATCATCGTCTGCATGGCCATTGTCTTTTCAAGCCACCAGATGATGTAGTGGTCGTCGAAGTGGGGTATCACATGGCTGCACTATTTGCATGGCAAAATTTTTTTGCTTGCGAGGTGCTAAGAATAACCGAGCTGTGGACTGATCGAGTTTGGAGGCGTCGGAGGCTCGGAGAAGTCTTGCGTTATTGGCCTAGTCCGCCCTAGACGAGTCACAATAATGACAGCTTCAGGAGCCCAAAACATAGGGGGCGTCCGGCCCAGGGTGGTCCTGCTTCTTTTCTGAAACCATGCTGCGCAACCTTTCCCCATATACTTTTCCATGTCTGTACTCCGCTGCACGCAACAGGCCATACTGACTGTCGGTCAACCCATGAGAACGTGCGGAAATTGCTGAGTTGTTCATATGCTTTGGGAGACGCGTAGAAAGCGTATAGGGATACGGTGTTCGTCCGTCCTTTGGTTGCATAAACCATGGCCATGATTAGACTTTTTTCATCTTGCCCACCCCCTCTTGGTTTCCCATTCGCCTCGAACCCCTTTTTATGGGAAAAGAAAAAGGGTTAAGCCCAGCATTTTCCAACCCAGGGTTGCCCGGCTGTCCTATTTCAAGAATGGTAAAACAGCCGTCGCGAGCCCTCGCAATCGGCGAAGACCTCGCCCGTGGAAAGCCAGTAAACGAAGGTCCCGTCTCCCGGCTCGACCGTGTGATTGGATCCGCTATTCCGTCGGCCCACCCCTGGATGAGCAGCGAAAGAACGCCAGGATCGGTGAGAATACGACTGCTTCCGAGATCCGAGAACTTGGTCTTAGCTACGGAAGGCGGATGCTGATTGGCAGCGGTGGTCCTGCACAGGATTCGTGCGTCCGAGAAAGTCGTGTGGGTGACCACTCATGCCTAGTGACGAAAGGGTCCATGATTGGCGCCAGGAACATTAAGCGGACTTGAGAGCTCGATGATAGCAAGTAGCAGTGGACTTGATAGTAAGTAGAGAACCTGTAGCTAGCTATTACACCGGAGCCACTTTGTAAGTAAGAACTCAGTTTTGAGAAAAGTAGATGAGTGGCTACCGATGACGATGCAATGATAATAAACAATGGTGGTGGTGGTGGAAGAAGGGGAGAAAGCTGAGTGAGAGATGGAAAAAACAACCGGGATACCTGTATCTGGATAGAACTTACAGTACTAACTTAGGTACTCTTACTCCGGTTCGCCTTCCGGAGTACTTTTACTCCGGTCTCTGGTATGAATGGAGGATAGATCATTTTACCATAGCCTCCTGGGATTGAGAACAGGTCAAGAAAGGTGTAACCAAACGACGAAGCAATATCTAGTTTCGTTTGTAGATGATGGATGGACCTTCAACAAACGAACAACAGATGCGTGCCAGTGAGGGAAGGGGACCGGGGGGAGGGAAGAACAACAGAAGGAATAACAAGGGAAAAAGGACTGAGTTGATGGGTCCGGCTGCAGGCTGCAGTCTGATTGATCAGCTGCTGCTCTCCGACCCAATTGGCATGTCTCCATCCATTGAACGGTCGAAAATCATGATGCTGGATTCCCGGCAGAAGTTCCTTTTCGCCTTTTTTTTGCCCCCCCTCTCTACAGTCTACGTACTGTGTATTACTCTTCCACCCACCCACCCACCCACATACACACACACACACTCACACACCCCCTCTCCGAGAGAGTCTGTCGGACTGTCTTTCTAACTAGTAACTACTGTACTAGTGTCCTTCCTTCCCTCCCAGAAACCCACACCCAGTCACCCACCCCCCCCCCCCCCCCCAAGAAACCCAAATTCAATCCAGGCTCCTCTCCCCGTCTGCAAATAAGCACCCAAACGAAAGTTGCGCATGGACCCAACTCCATGGATATGGCATAGTCCCATCCTGGTTTGATTAAATTGCCCACTAGGCAGTCATCGTACCTTGGGTTGGAAATCCCCCTTCTCCGGCTGCTAGTATGATTTGGGACATTGCTGGGCTCAGTCTCCAGCGCTCTGTCTGGGCACAAGCTGGCGAGCACAGACCATGTGGCCATTCCACTCCAAAATATGTCCACTGAGAGGTCGGAGAGGCGTGGCAGCTGGGGGAACTTTAAATTGGGAAAAACCCGAAGATTTTCGCCATGGTTGATCTGAGAAAAAATCAAGGTACCCGCTTGCCTTGCGCGGTGGGCATATCTATCTGACAATCGCCCATTTTGATTGACGATCTTCTCCTTTCGTGGGCCCAATCTTGCTTCCTATCGCTGTTGGATCTGAATAGACTCGATTGCCTTCACTCGCCCTTCTGCCCTTTCTGTCTCCCTGGCAGCTGCTAGTCTGTCCATCGGAGGGTGTTCGCCCGCATGGTAGCGTGATCTTCCATCTCTTTCATCGTTGTGATTGCCATGCAGATCTGTCGCATGGCATCTGTGGCACATCACTATGTGGCTTAGGACAATCATGCACCTTTCGATTCTTCAATTGCTCTAAGTATGAACAGCCCTTGTTTCCCCTGTCCCTCCAAACATGGCACCTATGCTCTAGCAATCCCTTGCCAAATGGACGTGACCGCGGTACCCCCGTCGTCGTCGAGACCCATTGATGGTTCATGACGAACTTGGGGGCACTTGCAGTCTTGTATACCGAAAGAATTCCAGTAGATGTTGATTTTCCAAAAGAATACTTGGTCTTTACTGACAGAATCTGTCTGCGCAGTGATGTTTCCCATCTCGTCTATCTATGAATATCAGATTTCCAGCATAAACTGCTAAGATTCCAGCATCTACACTCCCAGGAAACCTCCACCAGAAGGTGTCGCCCACACGCAATCCTGGTTACATTCTATTCAGGACAGTCCTTTTGTGATACTATTCCTTTGGTATCCTTATATTCTTTCTCATTGTATTATTCGTGAAGTGGCTTGGGCCCGCTGTCTCCTCTCATTTCCTCTACATCTACACTGATTCGACTATCAATTACCTATACCTTCCTTCCCTCAAAACCTAACATTGAAACGATCCTTATTACCCTCCAAATGAAGTTTTCAAATCTCTTTGCTGCTGCAGTCGCTGCCTTTGGTCTGGGTAAGTTCTTCCTTCTGAAGTCATTGTACCTGCTGAATTGGCTGACCGTATCTGTTCAGTGCGCTCAGGCTGCAGCCAAATAGTCAAGCACAGGCCCTCAGAAGGTGCAGGTGTCTCCTATAGCATCAATGTACCGAAGAATACCTCTTCGACGGGCTCTGGCCCCATCTTTCTCCAATTAGAGGCACCACCTGGTGTCAAATGGTTTGCCCTAGGTCAGGGGTCGCAAATGACAGACGGGAACTTGTTCATCGTCTATGCGGCATCCAAACACAATGTCACCTTGTCCACTCGGAGGGCAACTGGCCATGTGCAACCTCTTTATGACCCGAGTATCGAGGCATATCTTCTCGAAGGCTCCGGTATCCACGACGGGGTCATGACCGCTAATATCCGTTGTGATAACTGCACAACACTTGCTAATGGAGAGAGTGCACTGGGCAATTCCAGCACCTGGATGTGGGCCTTGACGCATGGCCCCCCGATGATGTCCAGCAACGTATCCCAGCTGTTATACCAGCATGACTGGCACGGCACTTTCACCTTGAATACCACTTGGGCAGTTGGAGGCAACAATACCAACCCCTTCGTTGTCCCGATGGCAACCATGCACGAGCTTTCGGCGTACACCCATCAGCAGCAAGTCAGCGATACCATTCTCCACAAGAAACGAATCGC